AAAATAGCCTCAAAATCCTGGAAGTGTTGATCCAACTGTGCCCTCAAGAAGGCCACAACCAATCCTCCCACAGTCTTTCTCATACACTTCTTAGGACCCTTCCCATTCTTGCACAAACACTTTGACAGCACGGTCCCAATTATCCCAGGTGTTTCATCGTCCAACATGTCCATGTGTCCATAATCTGCTGCAACAAAATTTGCACAAGGGGGTTTGCACTCGTTGAAATAGTCCACGTGGTTCTCCCCTTCAGGAGCACATGGTGGAAAAAGAACATTAGCCTTTTCTGTTCCCAGTCCAGTGCCTATTACAGCAACGGGAACCTTCAAATTCAATGAGCGTGGCACCCCTGTCAGAATTTTAGGAGATGTTTTGCTAGCCTTACACTGAGATAATCCTCCCACAGGGTCTATGCCTATCAGTGCAGAAAACTTCAGCATCGTTTTAACATATCCTAGTGCCACAGAAAATGCAGTTTGTCCACCCTTACTGTGACCTGATAGAACCACTTTCTCCAATTTCGCTTCAACGTTCTCAGGAAGCAAAGGTTGAAGCCCCTTCACCAGCCAATCCACCACTTTTCCTGCAACCTTTATTTCATCGCATTCAAGCAAAGGCAAACTGCAGAACTAGAATGGTACAAGGAAAATTTGTGTCAGAGAATCCATTATAAAAAAGAGTAACATATTTTTACAGACATTACATTCATTTGATAGAAAGTGTACATACCAGCTGAGGAGCAACAACTATGAATCCATGTGAAACTATGTGGGATAGGAGGTCACAGTAGTAGCTTGGTGGAATTCAGAAACCATGGTAGAAAACTATTACTGTGTAAGCACCAGGCACAGTTGGTGTATATATCAGCAATGGTTTTGGAGGTGAAGAAGGAGACTTTGTGTCAATATTGAAATTCTTCCATTGGATACTTCCTTTTTGGAAAACATCTGTGGTCACCACTTTTGCTTCAGCTATCTTCGCCATCATTATTACTCTTTTCACACCAAACACGATCCTTCTAAGGATACTTTTAAAATCTTCCTCTGTCCATCTACCTTATATAGAGATACTCTGTCAGGTTTCAATATCTATTTTTTTTTCTTAATTTGTGCAAGATTTTAAATAAATAAAAAATCAGAATATGAAAAATTAATATAATGAAGGTAAAATTTGTCGGCATGAGATAAAATTTAAGAACATGAAATTATATTTTTGGCATATATATTTTTTCAATTCATTTTTTTTATTTTTGACTTTTTTTTCTTAAAATAAAAATTTGTATTTTATGATTATTTTATTTTTATATTATCTGTAAAGTGAATGTAAAAATGTGTCGCTCAGTTATTACTTAAATTTTAAATAACTTTCTGTATCATAAATTTTTTAATTGTATACATTAAAAAAAAATCTAATTCAATTAAATCTAAAAATATCATATTGTTTGATAGTTTCCACGTCTTTTTTTCGTTTTTTAAGTTTGAGTTGAATTTTGCATCTTGCAAGTCAATTGGAAAGCTCTATTGCATTGTGATAAAGTGAAACACAGATAATACTATTAAAGAAGTGACAGAGACATAGAAGAGGTTCTTAAGGGACCACAATGCAATATGTAGTTGAAGTCTAGTTTCAAGAAACAAATTTGGAGACACTCATGTTAGAATGTGATGTTTTTATTGTTTTCGAAACCGTAATTTAAATATGAATTTAACTTTACGTTAGAAGTGATAAAGACGAGTATTATATAAAAGAAATTATAAGTTTATTATTTTAAATTTTATAATTAAAATTTATATCAATTTTTTTATATAAATTAAACTCAGTTCCATTTATATGTTAACATATATGAAAAAAGAAATTATTGTAATCATGAAAAATTTAAAGTGTGAAAAATCTTGAGATAAGAAAAGGTATAAAGATGAATAAATATATAAAAATATATATAAATTATTGTCCAAAACTAGTTATAAAATTTGAAATTATAATATTTTTATGTATAATGTAGATTGGAAGAACACTACTAATTTTCTTACGTATAAGTTCTTCTAATGTTGGAGATTAGTTTTATGTTCCTCGTTCAGTGTATAGTACTTATGTATGAGACCATGGCTCTTGTAGATGACGATAAAATTTATAAGTGGACCATGTTTTTTTGGCTTGGCTGTTACAAAATAATTGAAGGGGCATCAAACAAATGACACATGCAACGTACCCCACTTTAAAATATCATTTTGCTAGTATTGTGGCTATTAATAATAATAATAATTAAAAATGTTTAATGTAATCATATGTTAAGGATTTTAATTTAAAATCTTTTGTTATGGTGAAATAATTAATCTATGTACCATACCAACTTTCCTATTCTCATCCTAAATTCTTAAATATTGTTTGTTTTGAAATATAAAATTATGTCATAATTAAAAAATGTTTCAAAAAAAATATTTAAATTGTTTTTAATTTTGATTCATAAATAACATAAGATTATTGTGTGTATTAATAACACTATTTTTGTTATTTATAATAAGTAAATAATACTCTACAAAATCGAATTCAAAGTTAATGATATAAAAATAATGATAAGGAATTCAAAATAAACATTTTGAATATATTTGACACTTGGAAATGAAAAACGAGCTAGAATGCAATCTGTCACATGTAATTCGTGTGGGTTTTGAGAGCAGCCCAACAACATCATCGAATAGTTTGTTGGGAACGACTTCTCCATTTCATGCACCCTTATCTCCTTTGTCCACCATAATTTTTTATTTTTTTATTTTGTTCATTAGTATTTTACTTTTTTGAACATAAAGATATTATACGAGAATTTTTTTTAAAAAAATTAATATCATTAGTGTCTACCAAATAGACAAAAATTAAATTAATATTAAAAAAATTTGATTTAGAATCGATTTAAACTATGCTAAATTAATTAAATTTTAAAATAAAAATCCATTAATGTTAGGTAGGTTTACGTTAACTTAGAATTAGTCTTGAAAAGTCAGCCCTAAAAAGTCAATGTTCGTGATTTTGAAATCGAACTCGTGTGTGACGCTAATTTACCACTACGAGGTAAGTAACATAAACTTTTAGATATTGCTAGTAACTTTTCAGTTATTTTCTTAAAATAATCCATTTTATGACATTAATGACATTAATTTACCACTCGTGATTTTGTTTCATCATCTTTTATTAAATTTACTTTTAGCTCCTGGACAATTTTACATTTTATATTTAATTTTACTTATTTTTATTTCCTATAAATTTTAATTTAGTACCGACCTTACCAATCTCTTCGCACTCTTAATCCATAATTGAGTACCCTTTTTTTTTACTAACATGAAAAGATGATACTTTTAATACTTTCATATAGCAAAATCTTAAGGTTCATACGGGAATTATTTGGATTAAGGGATCCGAAGTGATGAGTAAAAGAATTTGAAGAAATTTTTTTTATGAGAGTTTATAAATGATGTGATGAATATAATAATAAATTAAAAAAAATATTTTAATGGATAAAGAAGTTTGCAAAACCATTGAAAGAAAACATTTGAGTTATTCAACGTATACATCATTTAGGACAAATCATCATAAAAACAATACTATAAACCTAAATATTTAACTTTACATAAAAAAAAAATGAACTTTATTATAGCTTGCTCCATTTTTATAATAGGGTTGCATAAAAGTCCAGAGTTTGTTGCTGAAAGAAGACTCATCTAGATTCGGGGAATTAGATACTTTAGAGTGTTAGCAGGAATGCAAATATGCTAAGTTAACTCCAAGTCATTCCTTACTTTAGTGATCAGCATAGAATCTCTTCTCCTTTTGCATGAAAATAAATATGGTAGAATGTTTAATATAAATGGTAGAGTCATGACAAAATATCAGTGAAGAAAAAACTATGGCGAACGATACATCATCTGATTCTGATAATGAAATTATCAGAGCACGAGTAAAGCTCTTTGGACATGAAAAACCGATACATCAAGTTCTTGGAGGAGGAAAAGGTACCACATTAAATTCATGTTCATAGTTTTCTTATATGAATGAACTAGAGCAGCTCTACAAACTGTAAAACAGGTTTATAGAACTATATATAATAACATGATAATCCATGAACTGATTCTGATAATTGGGGAACTTGCAGTGGCAGATATGCTGTTATGGAGGGACAGAAATTTATCAGCTGCGCTTTTGGGAGGGATGACAGTGATATGGTTTCTATTTGAGATTGTTGAATACAATTTCGTGACTCTCCTTTGTCACATTTCCATCACCACCATGCTTGTGCTATTCATATGGTCCACAGCTGCAGATATATTCAAATGGTACCTATTTTTACTTAACATCAAATGTAACAGTGACTATGAATATAGATCTACAAGATGATATAGGCATACACGTTCTTCTATGACATTATGATATTATTCCCTTTGATAAATATATCTTCAGGAAACCTCCCCAGATTCCAGACATTATTTTACAAGAATCTTTCTTCCAAAGTCTTGCTTACATTCTCCACAGAAGATTCAACCAGTTACTACCAATGCTCCTCCATATTTCATGTGGAATAGACCTGCCAATCTTTCTTCTGGTAACAACCAATATTCATTTTATTTCACTAAACTGAAAGTGGATTTCTTAATTAACGAATACGTAAACCTGACATTTCACTTCTCAAAACATTTTCAGAACATTGTGTCCCTCTATATTTTCTCAGTGATTGGAAGCTACTTCAGCTTTGTCAATCTGCTATATATTGGTAAGCATTCTTCATCTTTTTAGGTTAAATTACTCAACTTACTGTCGTAAATTATGATGTTATAGCAGTTTTATGCAGTCAGTAGCAAGTAATAAAGAAAACTCTCTGAATAATTAAAATGTAATTACATGATTAAAGAATTAAAGGAATAACTTAACCATCTCCTTAATATGGAGCATATGTGAATGTGAGTAACTTAACCCTATTTTTTATATGTGATTTTATACTGAAGTTTGTACTAAGATGTCTGGTTTCTTGTTGGTGTTCATTGATGACAAGGTTTCCTGTGCGTGCACACGCTGCCAATTGTGTATGAACGATATGAGGAAGAAATCAACAATTGGGTGAGCGATATGTTAATCTTTCTCAGAAAAAACTACAGGAGTTTTAAGAAGAACTACCTCAACAGAATTCCCAGAGGACCAGTGAAGCCAAAGAAAACCCAATAAACTGTTACACTTACACTCATCCCAACTTCAAAATATATATATATATTGTGCATTACATAAATAGCTGCTATGAGAGATACAATGGTTATCACCAGAAAAACATACATAATATGTTTAAGTTTCTCCCCAAAAAAGCCATACAATGTAATAATTTTATTTTTCATACATGTCCTATTGTGTTATTCAATGGTGTTTTACATGGATTGTGTGTGATATACTTTTCAATAAAATCTAATTGTTATACTTTTCTTCACTAAACAATATATCGTGCGTGTGGTGTGGTATGTGAACAACGTTCTCTTTCAATATTCTCCACCTTTTAGGTTCCTCAAAGTTCTCTTGTGTTAGCATTCGGATATAAAGAGAAGCTGAGGTCAGACTCCAGAACACTTTGTCTGCTACTCGTTTGGTGAAAGGAAACATATATCATACACTTCTACTTTTCTTTCATCTCATTTCTATTCCATTTTCTTTTTCTGTCTCCTTTTTTTCATCAATGATCACATCTGTCACTTCGTTTTTCGTCCATCTTTTCTTTTCTTGCTCCTTTCCTTATTGCTCTCTTCCTTTAACTTCAATCCACTCCCTTAGAAGTCATTATCACAACTCTTAGTGAAAATGTATAATCATATCAGAAACTCATGTTATCTTTGTATTGTAGAAAAATTATAACCATCTCCACACCTTTTTTTCTATATCATTCAGTTTTTTCTTCTTTTTCTACATATACTTATTATATATCTATCCCTTTTTTCACCTTTTCTCTTGTTCTTTTCTATCTCTGTCTTATTT